TGAAAAGATATTTGGCACATATGTAGAGCTGATATAGCTCTATAAAGTTACCGGTCAGATTTTTTTAAAACCCCTTAAATAAAAAGTTATAACCATTTAAAAAATTGAAACACTTTGTGTAACCGTTGAGTATAGATTTCCTGCACCATATTTAAAATAATGTGCGCTTTATAGTTAGCCTTGTTCTACTGTATCAAACTTTGCGCACATTGAATCTAAAATTTGGTACGCAACGCGCATCAAATTTTGACTTCGAAATTTATTCACTGCTTACTACAATAATTACGGTCTATTACATAGTATATTAATATGGCCGGAGTTACTGCCTACGTCAATACTACCTCAGTCGTAATTAATTACTTCAATGCAACTACATCACTATTCAGAACAAGTTTAGATCTCACCATACTTAGATACTTATGCATCGCGCACGATTGCATAATTACACAGTTATTTTGGTTTTGTAACGATACTTTATAGTTATTGTATGGGTTGTAGTGAATAACCCAGTTACATGTGGATTCATATTCCGTGCCGAAGGCACGGGATTTAAATACCCGTGTGTGTAGCTGGGTGTTCAATATACCCATATATTATTGCACGGTGTCTGACGTAACAATCCCGTGCCAATAAGTAAATGAAAAAAACACGGGTTGCCACATAAGACCCGTACCGTACAATAATACTGTATTAAAACATAGTGCTAGTCATGAGTATTTGCTCTGTGTTTAATAGTACTGTAGGGTGTATGTAGGTTATTTTTAATTACGCTGCAAATCAGATTTATTATATATAAACGAAGCCGCTTGCATGATCATGTTCTAGTTATTAACGTATATAAAAAACTTTAAGCTGCACGAATTTTCCTATGAAAATTTAATAATTTTTTTAAATACATGATGCTTTATAGTTTTCAAAGTTTGTAAATATTTGAATGACGGAAAGAGAAAACCTGTAATTTTAAATTAGATTAATATAAATTTATTAATATATACATATGCTGTATGTATGATAGTAACATTTTTTACATGTTACGTATGTGTTTTATTTTATATGCCTAAAGCCGCGGCTTAGGTGCATTTGCCTAAAATTTCTAACTAATGCATGCAATAAAATCTAATTTAAAGGTTAATTTCGGTAAAATGCAGCTTCTGGCCAGGGTTGTAAAATTACGGTAATTTATTGTAAGTTACCAAAATGGTAAGTTACTGTAAGTTACCGTGAAAGTAATCTATGCTTTATTCCGAAAGTATCCGTGCTTCATGTCCGTTAATTGCCTACTATTACGAAATTTACGGACTTTCAAATGTGTATTTGGTATCCTACCATGGTAACTTACGGTAACTTACCGTAATTTACCGGTAACTTACCACGGTAAGTTTACCACTAACAACCCTGGGAGGGATAGCTAGACATAATGCCGAGCAGAAAATTCAAACGACAAAGAAGGCAACATACCATCAAGTTACACAAATGCCAATTAGTCATGGACAGGTCCCGTGACCCATTTGTCACATAGAAAGTCCAGTGACTCGCAATAATGTACTGCCTTGTGATTACAGAAAATCTATGGGCAGTTCTTAGAGACAGTGTAAAGTCACGTGATTGTTTGTTAAGACAGTTAGGTAAAAGTTAATTTTTCAGAATTTGAGCGAAAATATCTAAATGACTATCCAATTAAATTTAATGAACTTTTTATTTTGATTTTATAGGTTTGCAGAATCAAAATAAAAAAAATTATCAAATTTAGTTTGATGGTTGCCGAGATATCATCGCCCAATGTTTATAAAAATTTTGTCGCAGCTGCTTTTTTTATATGTTATCAAACTTTACTCGAAGATGTTTCAGTAACTAACTAACAAAATCCTGCAAAATTTTATATTTTGATTCTACATATCTATAGAAGCAAAATAAAAAATATATATTTATTGAATTTAATTTGGTTTTCCGAGATATCTTCACTCAAAATTAACCACAATTGTTATTTTGAAGGTTTCAAAACTTTGTACGAAGATATTCCAGCAACCAAACAATTATATTTAATGAAATTTTTTTTATCTTCATTTTACAGATTTGTAGAATCAAAATAAAAAAATTTATACTCACTCAAATTTTTATAAAAACTTCGCCGTGGTTGTTATTTTGATAAAGCGTTTTAATATCCTAGTAAGGCCGTTTGAAGTTAACTTTTCAGTTAACAATCACCCCCTTTTATGTCTCCCGGTAAAATGAGCGTATAAAAAAAGTAAAAATTTTAAAAAATACCGTATAACCACAAATAACGCGCTGGGGTTTGGTTTCGAAGTTATGCCTAAATTAAGCTTAATTCGGGCTGAAATTCGAAATAAATTCCTATGCACTATTTCGTGATTATACGGCAAATATAAAATAAAAAAATAATTTAAAATAATTTAAAGGATAAATGTAACCGAATTAAAAATAAAAAAATGATAATAATTTTAAAAAAAAATAAACTAGAAAAAAAAAATAAATAATAAAATTTTATGATCACAAGAGTTTGCACAATAACAAGAAAAAAAATCCATGACCATGAGAGTTTGCATGATAACAATTTGTCACTCGATCATCAGGGAACAAAAACAAGATACAACTCAGAAAACACTATATGGGATCTCGCCTCGCTGCTCACGTGGTCTACAACTGGTTCCTAGTATCCTATTTCCCTTTTTTTTGATATCCTAGCTGTTCAATCGGGCTATAAAAGTACTTATCTCCGGCACCCGGGTTGTCCACCCGGGCTAACGATCGTACCAATAATTTATAGCTATTGCATGGGTTGTAGTGAATAACCTAGTTACACACGAGTTCATATTCACAATAACTATCTTATTGCACGGTGTCTGACGTAACAATCCTGTGCCAATAAGTAAATGAAAAAAGCATGGGTTGTCGTGCAATAACTACTAAATACCCCAATACATAGCACTGCCTTCACCTGCAACGAGCTAGCAGCAAAGACAAAGAGAAAAAACAAATTTCCATTTCTCTTCTCTTAAATAGCCATTTACTATGACCTCATACTTACCATCGCTCAATAACAGGAGGAACCGTCGATGTTACACGATTGGTCTTTCACCTGGTGTGCAACATATAAAAAAACAATTTTATAATACCAGATCATTCCGCTAGTACATGTTATGATTATAATCCCACGCCATTTTTATTATAATAAAATGGTGTGGGATTATAATCATAACATGTACTAGCGGAATGATCTGGTATTATAAAATTATTTTTTTATATGTTGCACACCAGGTGAAAGACCAATCGTGTAACATCGACGGTTCCTCCTGTTTCGCTCAATCAATCAATCAAATCGACACTCATCACAAAATACATCATATTTACAAATCTCTTAATCAAATCGATACTCATCACCCAATACATTATACTTACAAGTCGCTCATTCGACTCGGCCTCTCATAAATAGCGTTTTAAATCTATGATCTAAGAATCATGGAAGATTATAGAAATGATTGTTTACATTTCTTTTTTTATTGCGCATGCGTCAATATAGAAAAATGTGCTTAAATATAGAAATTCAAATTAAACTTACAAGAATAAATCATCTAATTAGATACAAATGTGATAGCTTGTTGCCAGTAGGTTATATTCGTTGCACGTTCATGGTCTAAATTATTTAGTTACTGCACAAATAAGTCAATACCTATGTTCTTATGAGTACACTATATTCAAAATTATGTTCTCACAAAGAACATAATATTTAATAAAAATATTCTCAAATATGAGAATTCTCAAAAAAATTTTTATGTTCTCTGAGAACAGTGAGAACATTGAATTTCGAACACTGGATATGACATTTAGAAATTTGGAACTGACCCTAATAATGTAATCATTTGTTTAAAATGTCACTGACTAATAGCTGAGCGACTAAAGGAACTGTTGTATGAAATTTTATTGATTATACGATATAAAATTATTATGAGATTAGAAGCATTAAATTACCGGAACATAAGAGTAATATAATGGTATAGGTCTATAATTAGATAATATTAATATTTAAAAAATTCTATCGAGATCTCACAAATTAAAATTCACTATTATAAAATATTTGACTAAGCCTACAAATTAGTCATAATAATCATTATCTTATTTATGGTATTTTGATTCTTCACAATATTTATCTTCTTTCTCTTTCTTAATATTTAAACTTTTTTCCTTGCACTGCTTCTTTTTTCTTTTGCTTTTCTTGAACTTTCTCTTTCTTTTGTACGTGTTTATTTTTCTGCACACTAGCTTTGACTTTCTTGTCATCGGTCTTCACCTTCTTTTTAGTATCTTTCGCCTTCTTTTCTTTCGATTTCATGCTTTCGAATGAAAATTTAGCTTCTGCGTTGTTATTCTTCCTGTGGGTTTTGTCATGTTCCTCGTGGTATGTATCTTGATTCAACTTCTTGCTTGTGTGTTTCTCGTTCACAGAGCCATAAGTTTCTTCATGTGATTTGTATTTCTTTTTTCCACCATCTTTGTTAGTAATTTCTCCCTCTTCGCTTTTCCTTGATCCGTTTTGCTTATGCCTTTCATCTTGTTGCAATTTCTCATTTTTGTGGCCAAAATTCTTTTCATCATGTTGCGTTTTCACTTTGTCGTGATTCACTTTCAAATCAGCATGAGAACTCTTCTTTGCACCATGTTTTTCGCTCGTTTCAGCTTTGTTCTCTTTCGAGCTTGTGTGTTTAGCATTCTTTGCAATATTTGCCTTGGTCTTTTCATGTTCGTTCTCTTTCTTAGTAGTCTTTTTCGCTTTAGTATCGACTTTTTTTGCTTTTGCTTCTTCGTAGGTTTTACCAGAACGTTTTTCAAAAGCTATACCTATCAAACAAGAGCGAATATTTTATTAATAAATAAGTTATTAAACATAAAATATAAGTAATTGAATATGTAAAAAAAGCATTACCTAAATCCTTGGAGTCATTTGGAGTTGGAACAGCCAAAGAGCTGGCGGCGAGGAGAATTAAAGATACGGTGGCAATGTTGAATTTCATGGTTAAAAGAATTTGTTAATGAAAGTTTATAAAAAAAAATTTTTTTTTTTTTCTATTATAGATTTGATCTTTGGCAAATATAATTTGAACTTGACCTGCAAAGTTCAAGAAGTTCCAAAGGCCCCACTTATATAGATAAATTTTAGAATAATGTTAAATATAAAATTGATTATCGTTAAAGACATTTCTTTGAAAATAACTTAAATTAGAAAATTTAATTAATCTTGCATATAATTTAAGATTCTTCAAGATATAGCAAACTTTTAAATGCAACATGCAAGAACCAATCTTTTGATAAAATGCATTTAAAGAGCGAATAAGAAAAATTGAATTCGTAAAAATTAAGTATGCATTTAGGCTATTTCTAAAAATAGTAATACGTAATAAAGCATTTGTTTGTGCACACCTTTTAAAGGAATTACATAATAATATAATATTATCCCCCTACATTATAATGCATTAAACAATTTTACTCAACACTATAATGCAGCAGCAAGCATTCATGCATTTGATTTTATGTTATTGAAATTACATTAAATGGAGTCGTCAATGAAAAACTATTTCTGAAGAAAATGATGTCATTGGGGCTTCAATTATTGCTTTCTGGTATGTAAACTTGAAATATCAATGATGAATTTTCTTTAGTGGTATCTATATACTCAAATCGAAGTTTCTAGTCATAGAATGATGTTTGCCAAGTTTTATAATTAATAAAAATTTAAATATAATATTATTGAAATTTAATACGGAGATATCGCCTATCGAATTTTCCTTGTATGTAAGTATATGCATTGAAATATTTAGTGCATTAAAGGCCTTTTTGTTTATCATGTGACTGTTAAAATTAGCTCGCATGTATGATAATCATAAAGAAACAAAAGGTTGATTTATTTAAAAAAACAAATATAGGAGAATTACAAATATCTAACACACGATAGTAAAGACATGATTTTTAGATATATTCGTTTTTTTTTTCGTAGGATTTTTTATTGAGTTGATAAAATGATAATAATTAATCATCAAAGACGATAGCGAAAAAATTTCTAAATACAGAGGAACGTTAAAACCAGGTGCATTAGAGTTACTTTATTTACATACTTAAAATAGAAAGTTATGCAAATAAATTTAATTAACGCCCTTTAAAACAATAATTTAATATTTACGCATTCCCACATGTAATAATAAGTATTTATGTAAATTTTCTTCAAGTTCGCAGTCGGAAAAAAAAATTTTCGATCCGATTGGTGAAAATAAATGCATAAAATTTATTTCAAATAACTATTAATATCTGAATATTGCTGGAAATAATTCATCGTTAAATGATAGTACATATTGTAATTACAATTACCTGCTGCATTGTTTTTTTCAAAATAACGATTTGGTGTTAAAATAGTATACATAGCTTTAATGCATATCCAAAATGACAAGCACATCATACAAGGTCACACTTAATTTAATTTCGCATTAGTGCTATAAACACTTAATGAATTTCGGATGATAATGCGCATGCGCGCGCGTTCGAAATTACATGCATATATTCAAAAATAACAAAAATAACGTGCAGAATACTTATTACAGTACTTCTGGCTATTTATGAATTTGAAGAGGTTTTTAAATGTTCTTGACAAAATCTCTTTGAATTTGAATTGTTTAGTGAAATAATTAAAAAACAGTTTATGAATTACGTATAATAAATCTTTAAATTTCTAGGATAATGTTTCTTTTTTTTAATTATTTGCCTATCATTCAAATCGGGTGAAGTACACAGTACCCAAATTCGGGTAATAAATTCCCAAAGTGATAAACTATATATTTATCGTGTTACCCATATCTTTTCATTTCCATATTTGTATAATTATTTTTTAAGTACTGAAATAGCTAGCGCTAGTATATTTAAATTTACTTTCCATTTTTGCATAGTCGTAACCCTTAAATGATGTATGATGTAAATTAGGGGTGTTCTCAAGTAGCACACTCAATTAATTAGATAATGATCGTAATGGTGCTCAACCGTTATGTAAAATTTAATTA